AGCACTTTGGGAGGCCAAGGCAGGTGGATCACGAGGTCAATAGATCGAGACCGTCCTGTTCAACATGGTGAAGCCCCGTCTCCACAGAAAATACAAAACATTAGCTCAGCATGGTGGCGCGTGCCTGTAATACCAGCTACTAAGGAGGCTGAGGCAGGAGAATTGCCTGAACCCAGGAGGCAGAGTTTGCTGTGAGCCAAGATTGTGCCATTGCATTCCAGCCTGGGTAACAAGAACAAAACTCCATCTGAAAACAAAACAAAAAAAAAATAGAGGGTTCTGATTGTGGTAAGGTGGGAGAGGGGAGGCCTCAGGGTCTACCCTTCAATATCTAACCAGCTGCATAAAGGGAATCTGTTACAGCAGGGAGGCCCCACATGGTCTGGTGCCTCCCACTCAGTCTCAATTTTCTGACAGGTGCCATACACACAGGCTGTGTCCCTGCATATTGGTACTTCTGTGACAATCAAAGGGAAACCTGTCCAACCTTTCTTGTGAGTATCTTTGTGTCCAAGGGTGGTGGGGCAGAGGAGGGAGAACATTTGCTCAGGGGGTGACCTCATGTGAGTGATGTGGAAATGTCTAGCTGGCAGGATGAAGGCGCCGTGCAGGTTGCAGGTCCTGGAGACCCTCCAACACCAGGCATGAAACCTGCAGTGGCTGCACTGTGGGCCAGTCATGAGACCTAGGTGAGGAGGACAGTCAGGGCTTGAGATTGTGGCTCTTTATCTATAAAAAGCCACAACATTTTCATGAGGTGGACACTTGTAAGGTTAGTGAGTATAGTTCAGTTTCTCTCTGGGAATGAGGGGCAGAGCATCTTCTCCCACCCTTACCTAGGGCAGGAGGAGCTGAAGCAGCCCCACAGAGAGAACACCTGCATTATCACCAGGAAGGCTTCCGTCTGCCCTGGTGAAAAATGGGAAGGATTTGTGGGTGTGTTGTGTGTGTACCCAACAAGACGGGGGCCTGCTCAACACACTGTGTGCTTTGTCTTCAGCAATGAACCACTGCTACAGGTGGATTTCCACACCACGATGGATGAGCTGTCAGACATCGCTTTCCATTTCAAAGTGTACTTTGGCCATTATGTGATCATGAACAGCCGTGAGAATCGGGTCTGGAAGCAGGAGGTGAAACTTAACAATATGCCCTTTGAGGATGGCAAAGCCTTTGAGCTGTGCATCTCAGCGGTGAACAATGGGTACCAGGTGAGTGCCCAAGGAGCTCCCAGCACCTGGCCTCCATGGGCTCCCAGAGCAAGAGACAGCTCTCCCCGTCCTCCAAGAAACTCTTGGAGCCTATCTCCCATAACTACCTCTGTCTCAAGCTTTTCCTCATACACAGAGTGGACACTTAACTTTTATAATTTTCGTCTCTCAACAAGTGTTGCGTGCACTGCTATCATCTCTGCTTGCACTGCCATCCACAGCTCCTTCCCAAATCTGACCAGGGTCAAGGGTGGCTCACCTACCATTTTATCCATGGTGGAGAATCTCCTCTATCTTCATCCACAGTTCTCATTTCCACTTATGCTATTATTTCAATTTCATGCAGCTAAATGAATAAAATTGTTTTAGTCAGTCCAATATGAAGACTTTCTGTTACTCCTGCTGCCAGAGTCTCAGAAGAATATTACTAGCTTCTCTACTCTTCTTGTACAGACAGTCTATGCTTATGAGCACATACATACACACACACATATATATTTTCATTTCTTTTAAACAGATGCTGGCATAGATGTCTCTACACATAACACTTTAAGAACTACAGTTATTTGTACCCAAAGTATATACCTTGGAGAAATCATCTATCCACTGTGCTGTCTCATTTTTTAAGGAATAAATATTATTCCCCTCAAAAAATTACTAAAACTTGAATATGATCTTTACAAAAGCACCGAGGTTGTTTTCAATGTTTTGCTCTCACAGGGATGCTGTATTAAGCTTCCTAATTATTAGAAACCTTTTATCATTATCACCCTCCCAATATTTATATTGGAAGGTAATTACAAACAAATGGAATAACCCGTTCAAAATTGTTTGCTTTAAATTAGAGAATACGACCTAGAAGAGGACTTCCTATAGAGCCTCAGTAATGAAAAATGTGATCAAACTTTCTAACCTTTCGAAGTGTATGCCACAGGATTTACATTTTATTCAGATTTAAGTCAGGGATTTTTCCCCTATGTTTATAAGATGTTAAAGATGACATCTAATGCTTTGCAACATCTGTGCATTTCCATCGTTCTGAGAACACTTGGGTTTTATTCTTTGACACCACCAGCTGAGATCTGGGCTACTGCAGAGAGAAGCTGGGCCATGAGAAATGAATGTGAGTCAGTTCATGTAACTGAAATGTATGTATTCAATAAACATTGTCAAGCATTAACCCCGTGGCAGGCCCTGTGCAAGATGATGAGATTCAAGTTTATGAGACACAGTACCTGACCACGGGGATCTTCCAGGCTAAAGAGAAGACCAAACCAACACATATGACACAGAGCGGTAGAACCTCTCGGAGAATGAGAGGAAATGCTGAAAATATAGTGAGCAACTATCTCGAATAATCACAAAAGGTAGTCTGTAAAAAGAAGTGTGTCTACTGGCTTCAGATGTATAATTAGGTGTTTTCTGGTTGCATGTTGCAGGTACTAGGACATAGTGGAGAGCAGGTTGAAAGCTTGTTTAGTGAAATACTGTCTTTCTGATGCATTTTTCCTCTTCTAGGTAATGGTCAATGGCCAGTTCTATTACACCTTTGAAAATCGACTCCCACAAGAGTCTGTGAAGATGCTGCAAGTGTGGAGAGATATCTCCCTTACGTCAGTGAGTGTCCAGAATCAAGAGTGACAGCCAGACTCTTCACTTTCAAAAAATTCCTGTTTCTATGTGGCCATGGATTCCCAGAGCTGGCTAACAACATGATCTCTCCTGACTTCAGTTCTTACACTTGCTCATTAAAACTTTATCAAACTTTACAGAATTTGCTTCTTTCTTTTGGGGGAAAAAGCAAGTGGTCTTTAAAAGAGGGGCTTAGGTATTCTATGGGTGGCATGAAGGAGTCAAAGGGAATACATCTTCCTGGCACAGAAGCAACGACAAGTCCACTGAAACACCTGAGAAGACATTAGGAATAATAGCCTTCTACATCATGGACTTTATGTCAGACACTGAACTAAAATCACTACCCAATTTCAAATAAGTCACAGCACTGAAATGTCAGGTAGCTGTGTTTTCAGCCACACAGGGATAAGCGATGGGATTGGGGGCTTCAATAACTGAGCCATGATAGGGTTGGGAAGGCTGTGGCTGACCTGAGCAGGGCTGTGTAGGAGCCCCGCTCTCTACACTGAAAGCAGAGGGGTGGGAAACCTTGAGGGTTCCCATTCCCCCACCTGAACCCAAAGTGTCACATGTTCCTCCACTTAACCAGGAAAAGAAAAACAAGAAGAAAATTGCTTGTGAAATAAACTCATATGCTTTTTTCCCTAAGTTCCGGAAAAGGGCATATACAGTATCACTTCTGGAAAGGCGAATCCCACATGTACAAATCTGATTTATTCATTTAAAGAGTGCTCATGGATGAACAAGCCCTTCTCCCATCCTTTCTGCAGACTGAGAAGGGGAAAAGTCATTTCACAGAGGAGCGGCTGTAGGCTCAAACGGTGAACAGAGTACTCATTACTTTGCAGAGTGTAAATCTTTGGAGGTCACTACTTTAAGAGTGTAAATCTTGGACAGGGATGAATGCAAGGCCAATCCTTTGGTCAGAGCACACAGCGTTGGTTCTCACTGAAGGTCTCCCTGTAGCCATCATTCTTCTCCACCCACAGACACAAGGTTGGGACACCTTTACTGCGCCCCCTGCAGTACTCTCACTGCCTCTCTTCCCCCTGTTGCTGCATCTCAGAAGACAACAACTGATGATCCAACCCTCCTTTAAGAGTGATTTTATCCCTGCGGAGAATTCTGGGTCAGCCCCTGCCACCTGAGTTGCTCTAAAGACATTACTTTTCAGAGGGTCTTGATTCCTGTCTTCCCAATAAGTCTCTGTGTTTATTCTGGACAAGTTTTCTATTCACCATTCAGAAAGGGAGATATCTGTGTTACATTTCAGGGAGTCCAGGGTCTTTCTGGGGACTCTCCTTTAAAAAAAGGAAATTATCATCCTGAAGAGACTGGGAGAATTTTGTATAGAAGGCAGTGCTTGCCACAGTCTCAAGCTAGAAACCATCAATGTCCATCAAGAGTAAAACTGCTGAGTATGTGTTGGCAGATTCACAAAATGCAGGAGTGGAGATCAATGAAAAGGAGGGAACTCCAGCAGCACACAGCAATCTGAATGACCCCTAAAAATAAAACGTGAACAAAAGATGCATGACCCAAAAAATGCCCTCCAAGACAAAGCACATAACATGTTTAAGCAGTTTATGCCCTTTGTAAAAGATAATTGGGAAGCTTTCTCCATATGGATTTAGACAAGTCTCTATGTTATAATGGTAACTAAAAAACAGAAACATGAGCTACTGTATATATATTATATACATAATTTAACTGTGTATATTGTATACACTATACACATTGTGTGTGTGTATATATGTGTGTCTGTACATATATATGTATGTGTGTGTGTGTATACTCGATTATCACATATTCAGTAGGCTCTCTCTATAAAAATATACAGAGGGGAAATAACCTATACTCACATTTGCCTTTTCATGTATGACAACACTTTGGAAGAAAACAACAAATTAACAATTTGCAATTACCTGGGGGTTGTAGTGGAATAGACAAGAAATCATTTTGCTGTATTTTTGCACCTTTTCTCTTTTGAGCTTTGTGAAGGCATTACCTATACAAATCACTAAAAATAAAAACTAAAAGTTAAGCAAAAGAAAGCATGCCTTTCCCTTACTTCAGATGTTCCTGAAAACACTTTAACACATAATACATGCAATACACATTCACTATTTTGATGTTATCTGTCATTTGAAATACCTTGAGGAAAGAAAATTAATCTTCCACTAATCAGCCTTCATTGACTATGACACGAAGGGATTACAAACTCTAAAATTTCAAAAGTTCTTCGATAGTCTTCCAGTCTTAATTTAAAAACCCAAGTTTAGCAAATTCGGTCATCTTGCTCTTGCTTTCATCCTCTTGGTTAATACCCGGGGGCCCTAGTATCGACAAGTTGCTGAAACTTTATTCTTGCAATACCAATTTTTTCAGTGAGGCAAACATCAAAGACACTTTCCACAATGCCAGGACAACAACATCTCCATCAAGCAGGATTTTTCTAAAAACAGGCTTCAAAAGACCCCACGATTCATTGTATTTCTTTTCCCTTCTTTCTTCATGATACTCTCCCTTTTTCTTCAACTATGCAATAATTGCTCTCTTTCCTTATAATTAAACATCTTACTGTCCACAATAAAAAAGTTTTAGTTATAGGACTGGCAAATAATTCCTCCTCAAAGAAGCCCAAAAAAGAATTCTTCCTCAAAGAAGCCCTGGAAAGGGCACCACTATTCTCGTCTTTCAACCTATTGCAGCTGAGTTCTGCAGCCAGACGACCCAGCGCCACAGAGACAAGAGATCCCGGATATATACAAAATAATTCCGATGGACGCTGGGCTAACGCGCTTGCGAGCTGGCATCATGGGCTCCGTCTCTCGCGCCGCACACGTCCACAACCACCCAGCAGGCTTCCTCAAACCCTCTTACCCGGCTGACCCAAGCCGAAGCTGCGCTTGGCCGAAGTCAGACTAGAGAGGGCTTCGGGATCCAGCTGGGGGCGTGGGAGGGCAGCCGGGCCGGAGCCGCACTCACGTAGAATCGGGCCAGGTGCTGCCCATATTCCGCCTACAGCCGCCTACCTCTGCCTGAGGAATGTCACTGCCGCCATTCATCGCGCCCGTCTGTCTGCCACTGCTATTTGCCTGCAGGTCTCACATCTGGGACCGCCAAGTTACCTGAGAAGCTCTGGAAAACCTGAACAGCAGGACCACGCAGTTGCGCGGGTGCACACTGAAGTGCATGCGCATGCGCATGCGCATGCATTTCCGCCGATGCACTTGCTTATTCACAGGCGCGTGCGCTCCTGAACGTGCGCGGGGACGCGCAAGTGTGTCTTCAACCTCCTGCGCCCAAACAGAGGTGAACTTCTGGAAAGACTCCATAGGCAGAATCTGAGGTTGCAGGTGCAGACTGGAAAGAGAAGGTAATGGGGCAGGAGTAAGGGCTCCAGAGCTTTGGAACCGTCTTCCTGCAGCGTTCAGGTGCCTTCAGAGCCTGCTTTAAGCCTGATCTCACATAGACCATTTCTAGTTGACAGTGGAGAGCTGCTGTGAATGTCCAACTTTTTAGCTGGTTGGGTCAGACACACATGGCCAGGTCTTGTCCAGTAGCCACGTCTCACAGTAAATTGGAGGCCACTGGTAAGCATTCACTTTCTGCTAAGGCCCAGTAACAAGACAAATGCTTTTTCCCAAAAGCTGAGTAGTTATCCACAAGGATGGTATGGCTTTGTTCTTAAGTCTTAAGGGTCTGTACTGTGATTCATGTATGGGACCCTGCCAAAGATTCTAAGAGCATCTCTACCTGCCACTGACCCTTCAAGCGCCATTGCTCCTGCTGAATCCCAGGCCAGAGAAACGTGCATGACAGCCTGGGTCTGACTGGTGCAGTCTTCCCTTATTCTGGGCCCCACACAAAACTAATAGCTTTAAAAAATACGGTGAGTGGAATGTACTCAAGTGAAGTATGTACAGCATCCAAAATTCAAAGAGTCTGACTAGGCACGTGTCCCTAGTCAGGAGGGCCCTTATGCAAAGACTCCACCTGCATATGAGAAGGGACATCTTTAGATGTGCCAGTCACTTGGAGTCCTTGAAATTTCACAAAATGGGAAATACCCTGAATTATTCTGGTATTTATTTCTGACTGACGCACACAAGCATCTACCCACTGTGTCTAACGTCATGGCCACCTCCTGATCACCAGGTCTCATCAGCATAATATCATCAGTATAAAGGATCAGCGTGTTGTCTTCTGGAAAAAAGAAGTGAACATAATGTCTTCCCTTGCAAGATGGCAGAATAGAAGGCTCCACCGATCTTACCCCAATGTCCTCATAAATTTATGAAGACATAAATTTAACAAGTATGTACAGAGGAAAAACACCTCCATAAGAACCACAAAGCAGGTGAGTCCTCATAGATACCTGGTTATAAGTCTATATCACTGAAAGAGGCGCTGAGGGAATAGAGCAAACAGACTGGAATTGCTAATGCCACTCCTTCTTCATCCAGGCAGTAGTGGTGTGATGCCTTTTGAAAAGTAGCTTTTTCTGTCCTTTGTCTAATTTTTTTTTTTTTTTTTGAGACAAGGTCTCACTCACCTAGGCTGAAGTGCAGTGGTGCAAACTGGCCTCAGGCGATCCTCCCAGCTCAGCCTCCTAGTGGCTGGGATTACAGGTGTGTGTGAGAACACCCAGCTAATTTTTCTATTTTTCATAGGAACAGTGTTTTGCCATGTTGCCCAGGCTGGTCTTGAACTCCTGGGCTCAAGCCATCCACTTGCCTCAGCCACCCAAACTGCTGGAATTACAGGCATGAGCCACTGTGCCCAACCCTTTGCCCACTTTTTTATGGGGTTGTTTTTTTTCTTGAAAAGTTGTTAAAATTCTTTATAGATGCTAGATATTAGACCATTTTCAGATAAATCATTTGCAAATGTCATCTCCCATTCTGGAGGTTGTCTGTTGTCTCTGTTGATAGTTTCCATTGCTGTGCAGAAGCTCATTAGTTTAAACAGATCCATTTGTCAATTTTTTTCTTGTGATTGCTTCTGGCATTTTTGTCATGAAACTTTTGCCTATTCCTATATTCAGAATGGTGTTGCCTGGGTAGTCTTCCAGGTTTCTTATAGTTTGGGGTTTTACATTTAAGTCTTTCACCCATCTTGAGTTGATTTTTCTATATAATGCAAGGAAGGGGTTCACTTTCAATCATCTGCATATAGCTAGCCAGTTATCCCAATGCCATGTCTTGAGTCAGAAGTTCTTTTTCCATTGCTTGTTTGGTTGACTTCGTCAAAGATGAGATGGTTGTAGGTGTTCGACCTTATTTCTGGGCTCTCTGTTCTGTTCCACTGGTCTTTGGACCTGTTTTGTACCAGTACTGTGCTGTTTGGTTATGTGGCCCTGTAGTACAGTCAGAAGTTGGGTAATGTGATGTTTCCACCTTTGTTCTTTTTGCTTAGAATTGTCTTGGTTATTCGACTCACTTTTGGTTCCATGTGCCTTTTAAAATAGTTTTTCATAATTCTGTGAAGGATGTCATTGGTAGTTCAACAAATATAGCATTGAATCTGTACATTTCTTTGGGCAGTATGGCTGTTTTAATGATAATGATTCTTTCTATCCATGAGCATGGAATGTTTTTCCATTTATTTGGGTCACCTCTGTGTTTTTAAGCAGTGTTTTGTAATTCTCATTGTAACAATCTTTCACCTCTCTGGTTAGCTATATTCCTAGGTATTTTATTCTTTTTATGGCAATTCTGAATGGAATTGCATTCCTGATTATGACCTATGCTTCACTGTTGTTGGCATATAAGAGTTCTAGTGACTTTTACACATTGATTTTGTATCCTGAAACTTTCCTAAAGTTTTTTAAGAATTGTTTGTGTGGAGACTATGAGGTTTTCTTTTCTTTCTGAGATGGAGTTTTGCTCTTCTCACCCAGACTGGAGTGCAGTGGCACTATCTGGGCTCACCACAACCTCCACCTCTGGGTTCAAGCAATTCTCCTACCTCAGCCTCCTGAGTAACTGGGATTACAGGCTTCGCCACCATGCCCATCTAATTTTTGTATTTTTAGTAGAGACAAGGTTTCACCGCATTGACCAGGCTGGTCTTAAAGTTATAACCTCAGGTGATTGGCCTGCCTCAGCCTCCCAAAGTGCTGGGATTACAGGTGTGAGCCACCGTACCTGGCCAAGGTTTTCTAAATATAGAATTATGTCTGCAAACAGGGATGGTTTGACCTCTCTCTCTACTTGAATGCTCTTTCTTTCTCTTGCCTGATTGCTCTGGCCAAGACTTCCAATACTCTGTTGAATAGGAATGGTGAGAGGGCACTGCAGAAATTGTGGTTTGAAAATCCAAATTCAATTTCTTCTCCATTCATCATACATATTTTGAGCTGTTCTGTATCAAATACAAAACAAAACAAAACAAGAAATGTATCTTTTAATTCTGTCTTATTGGCCCCTACTTGCATATACAGGCCTGTCAGGGTCTGGCACTTCTGCCAGGGGCTACCAACCTGTGGGAGTCCCCGAGACCACCAACGTAGATGTCTCGTTCAACCTGAGGGAGAGAGTGTGCGGAAGTGAAAGAAGAAAGAAAAGTGGAGTCTGGAGGTCTGCGTAACTTATGGTCAAAACGCAGCACTTTATTTTTGTAGGTTACAGCTTTTATACCTTTATTCTTGTTATATTTACTTTATCTCAGCAGAAAAGGGGTAAACAGAAAAGAGAACAGAAAACACGTAAAAATAGTTATCATGGGCCTGTGATAACAGCTCACAAAGCAGTTTTAAGGGGGCTTGTGATAATAGCTTACAAAGCAGTTTAAGAGTTAATATATGTTTTTCAAAGATACACAGTGCAAGCAAACAATGGTGCCCTTAAGGTGGCTTGTTAATCATGTTTTCCATCAGGAGGTAGAACAGAGGCTCAGCTCCTGAGAAAATATGGGCAGGGGTCTTTTCCCCTCTCAGGCATCTCAATTGCAGCAAGCCTATTGCTTACACAGAGACTAAAGGGGATATGAAAGCAGTCAGCACAATGTCCTCATAAACCGCAGGCCCTTACTCTGCATTCTGTTTTTGCCTCAGTGGCTTAGCCATTTTTACCTTGACTTGACAGTCCTTGAGAGTGGGGGGAGAGCAGACAGATCCAGCAGCCAAGATGGGGCGAGTCACGCTAACTGTCTCAAGCCCTTGGTGTGAAAGCTGCATCTCCCCGTTTTTTACTTTGCAAATGAAGGGCAAACACCTTCAATTGCACTTCTCGGAGGGTGGAGAACAAGAGGCGGAAGACACATGGCAAGCACATCAGCAATGCAAGAAAACAAGCAGCAATGGCAAGCAGTGATGAAAAAGAGGGGATACGAAACTGTTGTCCTCTGCAGATGTACAAGAGGACATGGCATCAACAAAACTGTGAGCAATAGAGTCATCATCAGGTAATTGTGACCGAGAAAGGTCAATGGCCAAAATTTCTTGCTGCCAATGTGAGATGTCAAGAGAGAGATTGTTATGAGACCAGATGCCCTGTAAATGGGCCTTAATAAGTGGCCACTGCCACTGGGAATTATTGTAGGGAGCACTGGTAACACAAATATATTTATAATGAGCATGACAGTGAAGTGAAAGTCAATTTTGTAAGTTATACACTTTGTCCCCTAGTATGGTTACAGTTTGGCAGCATGGAAACACATAGGAGGAGAAATGGATTGACCAAAGAAGGTGTAATTTGCTGATTGAGGATAGATGTGAGCAGCTGAAGGGGTGCCAAATATTGAGGTATTGTTAAGGAAGACAGTAAAGGCAGGGTCATCCCAAGTAACAGGGTGGAATGAAGAAGGATAAGGGACATAGGCGCAAAAAGCATCAGGAGAATCATAAGTGGGCACAGGACATGCCAACATAGGATCACAAGACAAAATGGCTAGCATGGCTAAAAACAGAGTGGCCAGATTAAGGGAGTGTCATTGCTGATGAACAATGCGTGATGCATCAGTCACCAGGCGTTGCATTTGGGTTTAGGTCAGGACTGGAACTTCTTGAGGAGGTGCCAGCTGGTGCCGAGGGTGATGGGCACAGCGGGGCGTAGTCCTCTGCAGATGTAGATGTCAGATTCTCAGGAGAAGGGAGTTCGGTGAAGTCATCTGAGGGCACAGCCGACAGGGAGATGTCAGTCGGGGAAATGGGATGGTCACTGGTCTTGGGAACGGTCACTGCCTCTTTGGGGCATGCTTGACATGTCATTCAGGTACCCAGATGGGTGAGGGGGCAGATCTAGGAAAGACACAAATGTGACCTCTGCCCCAAACTAACACTGGGTCAGGGCCATTCCACTGATGAGAGAATAAATCTTTCCATAACACCACAGGCGTGGCTGAGTCCCTTGGGTGCCAGAAACGATCAGCTGCTGAGTGGCCCTGGGCATCAAGGGTTAAAAAATTTAGAACATAAAGAGCATGCCGAAATACATCATGTGGAGTCTTGTAAAAGGAAGGAGGTGAATTATTTAGTTTAAGTAATAAAGTTTTAAGGGTGGCATGAGCACATTCAACAATTCCCTGTCCCTGAGGATTATAGGGAATTCCTGTCTTATGAATCACCTGAAACTGAGAACAAAATGTTTGGAATGAAGAACTGGTGTAAACTGGAGCATTATAAGTCTTCAAAATGTTTGGTGCACCTAGGCTGGAGAACACGAGTAGACAATGAGCAGTCACATACTTGACTGCCTCTCCTGTATGGGCTGAAGCTATTATGTAATGAGAAAAAGTGTCAATAGTTACATGCACATGTTTTAAACGACCAAAAGAAGCAATATGGGTGACATCCATCTGAAAGATGTGGCCAGGCTGTAGGCCACGAGGGTTTACTCTGGTATGAGCAGTTTGAGGCAAGTGAGTCACACAAGCAGGGCATTGCTTAACAATGGCATGAGCCTGTTCTTTGGTGATGTGAAACTGCAGTCACAGGCTACGGGAGCCCTGGTGTTGCAAGGCATGAGATGTCTCAGCCCATTGTATAAAAGAAAGGGCAGGGGCTATGACTGGGTAAGTGAGAGCATCAGCATGTCTGTTGCCTGCAGAGAGAGAGGTCCGGGTAAATCAGTATGTGCATGGATATGGCCAACAAAAAAATTGATGAGTCCACTTGCGGATAGTCTGCTGTAAAGGAAGAAGTAGGTGTATTATAGCAGAACTGTCAGAGAATGATAGGGGTGCTGTCTCCAGCAGATTAATCAAGTTAACTACATATTGACTGTCAGAGTATATATTAACTGATTGACCACAAGTGGAGAGCACATGTTGAACAGCAAGCAATTCCAGCCTTTGGGTGGAAGTTTCAGGCATCTGGAAAGAAAAGGGAACGTCATCAATCTGTCCAGTGGCAAGTCC